GAAATTTTAGATATGTGCTCATCAAAAATAGGTGAATATTCAAAAAATATCAAAAAACTATTTTGCATGAAATAAATTGACCTAAATACCCCCAAAAAGCTTCGGGAGGTATTCTAGTCATTTTGTTTTTAGTGAATAATTTTTTTTATATTTTTATTAGGTACACATTGATGAGAAGAACGCACACCTAAAATTATAAGTGGTGTAGATATGTAAAAAATAAATAAAATTCAAAAACTACCGGACAGCCGTGATCATCAGATTGGCCCAGATTGAATCTAGGCCGTTGGGCTCATATGTTCATATGAGCTAGTAGGTTAATCTCATATTTTCTCAGCTCTATATTTTGTAGTTCAACTCTATAATTTTTTTTTACATAATTTTATGAGGCAAGCTTTCTATGCTTCCCCTACAGCATAAAGCTTTTATACTTCTCAATCACAAATTTACTCTCTATACTATTTTATTTTTAATTTTTTATTCAAAATAGTTTGACACCAAAATTTCTGTGTCCAATCCTCTCTTGAACTCGCATCTATAAAATAAAAAAATAAAAAAATAAAAAAATAAAGAAATATTTCCAATAAAATAAAATGACTAAAATGCCTCTAAAAATTACAAGGGTATTTTGGCCATGTGTTTAATCAAAATTATTTTTTAATATTTTATTTAAGTGCGCCCCATTAAGGAAATGGCACATATTGGTAAAAAAACTAAAAAAACAAACTACTCTAAAGTTTCGCATTTAGATTAAATAGTTAGTGACTCACTTGATTTAAATTGAACTACTAAATGAAGGGGAAGTATATATCTTTTATGCTGTAGAAAAAGCCTAAAAACCTTTATAACGGATGTTGTCAAACCATTGATAATTCATCAGTGCGCAAGTTGGCAGCAAAAATGTGCGCCACGAACTTTGAGGGAACAAAATCAGAACTTTAAATCATCTAATAAATGGTTTTACATTTTGAATGTTAGTTCCTCTAAGTATAATTTGCAACAAGAGGTAAATGAGTTTGTAACTTGTAATGGCTTTTTGGAGCAATAAGTTTTTGGAACCCTTTCTCTCTGGGCTATTGAGAAATAGTATTGTTATACTCCAATATTGTGTACATATTGTAAATCTAAAAATGTATTTGTTTTTCAGCTCATACCCAACATTTTGCAATACGAGGACTGGGACACGGTATGTGGGTATCACATTGTAAGTGCCCCTAAATGATAGGACAGCTCTGGAAAATAAGGGTCATATCCTTGAACCCCTAGCATCTGGGGCCATATGCCAATTTGTGGTTCACCACCTCCCCACTAGGGCACAGGGAGAGACCATTGTCAAAGCAAATGTCACTGGTGTGAGCGACCCAAGAAAGGAAGGTGCCCCTGCTGGTTATTGATGTGTGCTGCTGGTTATCGAGGTGTTTCTTCATGAGTGTATGCATGGGCGTGGTTTAATAATGACCCATGTTGTTTCTCTATCGGAAGTGCATGGAGTTGACCTTAACCTTTTTTTTTTTTGGCTATCCGTGGGGAAAGGGTATGCTAATCGTGGTAAGAATGAAACTTAAGAATTTATATTGTGGCATCTAATATAATTTATATTTGAAAAAAAATTTTATGCAGGCTGAATCGCATTTCTACATATGTGGTCTAAAAAATATAAAGCATCCATCTTAAAGATGGATGCAAGTAGGTGTTTCATATAAAAGCAATGGAAACTAATAGTCCAAATATTTTTTTACTAGAGTTATTATTTATAATTTTTAAAAATTTATGTAATTTTTCATATTCATGATTTCCAAGTTAGAGATTACATGTCTTTAAGAAGTCAGCTTTAAAATCCATCTCAAAAATAGATTTATTAAGAGGCCCGTATTTCTACATATGCAGGCTTGGCCACATAGAAACTGGATCCTTTATATTTTACTCCTAATTAATTATTAGAATTAAAATGTTGTGGCCGGATTTTTAATTTTACACAAGTCTTCACTTTTTCCTTTTTTCTTCTTTTTAGCCTCTGGCTCGATGTCGAAAATTCAAACTACATTCTTTTTCTTTCTTTTCATCTTTTTCTTGTAAAAAGTTAGGATTTTCAAAACCATGAGCGGGTGTAAAATGTTAGAACCGGTTCGGATTTTTGATATCTGAATGGCCGGAAAAATAAATAAAAATAAAAATAAAATAAAAAGAGAAAAAATGTATGTCTTTTGAAAATCTACACGTTCATTTTTATCAAAAACAAACAAATTTTTGTTTTTCCAGACATTCAATAATAACTCCCCGTACACCTGCGTTTTTTTATATCTAATTATAAAATATTCTTATGATTATTTAAAAATGTATTTTTATATCTAATTATAAAATTTTAAGCTCCAAAAATAGTTAAAATCATGTAGATCTATAAAGATGTGAAAATCTTGAAAATTGATGGTCTAGATAATGTGTTGCAAGATGCACTATTTTTTAGACTCAAAATTCTTTTTTTATACATTCGTACATCTCGATGTCGAGATGATCAATTACAGGGTCTTTCAATATTAAAACAACCTTTTTCGATGGATTTTTGAGATGCATCTATAATTTTACATTTTAAAGATGCAACCTTATATAAACTTTTAAAAGAAAAAGACTTAATCCATAAGAATATCAATATTATACAAAAGACACCAAGAACCAAGGTTTAAAAAATCGATGACCCGATCCCGAATCAGGTGATCTGGATCAGGAATCACCCAGGACACTCCGTATTAGGCCAAAAAACAAGATCCAGGCGGCTCCAAATGGTAGAATCACCAATTTTTTCGTGGAACCAATGATTTCTTCACTGAGTCCGACCGATTTGTCACTGATTTTTTAATTTTTCTTGAATTATTTTTTAAAAGAATTTGAAAAAAAAAACAAGATGAACAATTTTTTCTTGAATTATTTTTTTAAAGAATTTGAAACAAAAATTATCGATTACGCTGATTCTTCCAATCCGATCCACCAATTCCCCCGATCTGACATGAGTACAAGTGTGAATGATTCGAGTCAATGATATGTTTTTTTAAACCTTATCAATAACCGTTGTTCATAAAAAGTGTCCTAGCAAGAGCGAATCTTTTGAGCATATGGGATATCTCTTCTTACATTTACATATTTATTTAAGAAAAAAATTTATATAAGGATGCAACCTTATAATGTAGAATTACGGATGCACCTCAAAAATCCATCGAAAAAAGGTAGTTTTAATGTTATAAAGCCTTTTGATTGATCATCTCGACATTTACATATATAGCTATGAAAAATGAAAAGACTTTTTAAATCTAATAAATAATACATTTTACAACATATCATCTATACCATCGTTTTTCAAGATTTTCATTTGTTTATAGATCTACTTGATTTTAATCATTTTTTAAATTTAAAATTTATAATTAAAAATAAAAATAGATTTTGAGATAATCCTAATAACGTTACCACTACGGCCATTGATGCATCCGTATGCCACCTGCACCCTTTATTTAATCTTGTACCATTCCAAGCATGTAAATTAAATAACATTTATAGCTATCAACTTTAAAATCTACGTTCACCAATGCTTTTATTGAAAATATCTTAACATCAAATTGCAACTCTTCTCGAAAAACATGCATCCTCTGTGCCCATTTATTATCATATGGGTTCCTTTATGCAGGACCACCCCCACCCACCCACCCACCCACGCACCCACCCACCCACCCGTGACGTTTTTTTTTTTCACACTCCTTAAAGACAAGAGTGTGATTAAATACAAAAGAGTACTCCTGCAGGAGTATAGTGTAAGTTTACTACTTCAATAAAAGAAACTATTTGGAGGGATTTTTCAATTTACAATTTTGAGAATCTCCTGAATATCACTATATTGTTATATTCAACAGTTAACTTTTTCTAACACTTAGGTTAAACCCTCTAAAATAGTGGACAGCCTCCTTTCAATCTTGATGTACTATTGTTTCACGTATGTAGAGGATGCAATTAGGAATATTTTTATTGAGATTAATCTATGGTTCGAAGAGGTTGTATCTCCAAAATTTAAGTTCCTTAAATTATTCCTAGGTGTGGTTTCCTCAGTGCAAATGGGATGGGGACAAAGGCTGTGGAGAATGCTTTTGGGGCGTACACACCACATGGGATGGAGGCTCCAATTCTTTTCTTTTTTTTTTTAGATAATTCAATAAGGAAGAAAAGCCCCTGTTTTCTCAAATAGTTCAAGAGTTAATTTTTTTAATGTGTTAGTGGGGTAGAGTGAGCGGGAACATGCCCCCAATGTTTTTCATAAGTAGGCCCCCACAAGAAGCACATGGCCCCCAACTACATGCTAAACAAACGTATTAGATCATGAATAATTTACATGCTACCAAAACACAAAAAAAAAAAATTATTAGGTCATGAGTAATTTACGTGTTACCAAAGAAAACAAAATGATCCAATTTTGGACAAAAATTACCTAGAAAGTCGGTGAGCCTATGTTTTTTTATTTTTTTCAAAATTTCTCACGGTACCGTTTTTTAATTTTTTCATTAATAAGGCACACTTGGCTCAGGCCAAAGATTGGTCCGAGGTCTTCATCCTTAGGCCGCTTTTTTCTTCCACAAAAAAGGAACAAAGAGCAGTTCGAAGATAGGTACCTCGAACTGTCCTAAAATTGAATCCAAACCCCGACTAACAAAAAATAAAAAAAAAATTTTAAAATAAACAACGAGGATGGCATCCTCAACCAAGGATTATTTTTCAAAAAAAAAAAATGGGTAGACCGACGCAGTATGAAATTTTCAACCAAAGTTGACCCATTCGTACTTTCCTATCTATTTTTTATCCGTTTGCAATTACTTTATTTTGGCGACCTTTATGGTTTTCAGGATAAGCCATTAAACCAAACATGGTGTACCGCCATTGAAAAATAAAAGCCGGATATTGCAATGGTGCCCCATTGTGTGCCCATAATAATACAATTATACCCAATGAGCGCCTATTAAATACCCCACCCCTCCAAAGGTTCTAAGCATCATCACCAACACACTCTCTCTCTCTCTGAGTCTGTGTCGGTGTACATTCAATCAGTCAAGTTTTTTGGCTTACCCTCTTGAGCATTTCTTGTTTTTGGCTTCCATTTGCTTTTGCAGGTAGTTGCTCAATCCACTTCTAAACAGCAATCTACTGCTCCTTCTCTAAGCGCCATTGTTTTTTTGTTTTTTAGGTAGCTGCTCCTTCTTTAAGCGCCATTGTTTTTTTGTTTTTCAGGTAGTTCAGTGGGGAATAGAGGCCCTACCCGTTTTTAAAAATAATTAACGGTTTGTTAATACGTTAGTGGGAATGGAAACATAACTAAAACATAAGTGGCACAACGACCACAATTCCATTCTCAAAAAGAACTTGTGCCACTTCTGTTACAGACCCCCCTCCTCTCTCTCTCTGTTTGTGTTTACGTGTGTGCGCACTTTTGTTGCAGACAATTAGATTAGTCGAGAGTTATTTCCCTCACTGATTCGGTGTTGCGCATTCATCTGTCTAGCGTTTTTAGCTTGGACTACACTTCTTTTGCTCCATTACTCTTAGTTCCTCATTTGCTCCATTACTCTTGGTTACACTTCTTTTGCTCCATTACTCTTAGTTCCTCATTTGCTCCATTACTCTTGGTTCCTCATCTCTCTGTGCGTTTGTGTTTGTCTGTGTGTGAAGGTGCTTTATTGCCGACACTTCAATTAGGCAAGGGATAATTTTTTCCTATGGTTATATTGGTCTTTGTTCTGCTCATATATTTCACTCCCGAGTAGTATACTACATTTATCACAACTCCTTTTTCTTTATCCTGAGTGTTTTCGTGACTTCTGACTTTTTCTCACAAGGCTTTATATTTTTACTTTATTATAACCGGGTCAAAATCTTGTCTAATTTTTGCGGCACAAAACCCTTTTTATACTTCATTATTTTTAGCGGGTTTAAAAAAAAAAGATGGATTGAAGTTGCCCAATTTAGATTGAAAATCAATGGGATTCTCGCTATATGTGGAACTTTGGTTCCCAGTAAATGCCACGTACCGAACTCTGGTATAGAATCGGACCCCACCTTTTATTTTATTTTATTTTTTTAATATTTTGATCTTTCTCTTTTCATTCTATGTTTTATTGGCCGATTAATTCGATTGGATCACTTTCGATCCATTGGGACCAATTTTCTTAATGGATGGGTGATCTTTAAACATCGGGATCTAGCATTTGACTCCACATTCGGTGTCTCAGTATATTTTTGGGGTAGGATTTTGCATTGATATAATTTGATTGGCGTGATTCATGAGTGCCTACCAAGTAATTACTGTAATTTAGATTTTTATCTGAACTTGAATATATGTGTTTCACTTCTATCTTTGTTATGTGGCTATGGTTTATAGACGCTTCAATTATCTATGCTCTTACCTCATCACAAGCCTTTTGTTTTTCTACTAACAGTTAACAAATACTAACAGTTAACAAATTATTGTAACTCCCAAAATACACGCAAAATATTTAGTAATTTAACATTCTCATTTAATCAAATATGTCAACTCATGATCAACTTGTCTTTTCATAGACTTTTTAAAAAATAGTAAAAATTAATATAAAATTTAAATAATTCATCTTCAATACACTTCGGTTCGTTTCTCAAAAATCCATTTCCAAAAGGGTGCAGTTGGCATACATATGCATCCGTAGCTGTAGAGGTAAGGTGCACCTTCAAATTTTATCATGGTATATAATTTTGATGTAAAATGTTCTTAGGATTATCTCAAAATCTATTTTTATATCTAATTATAAAATTTTAAATTTAAAAAATAGTTAAAATCAAGTATATCGATAAACATATAAATATCTTGAAAATGGACGGTGAAGATAATACGTTGAAAAATGCACTATTTTTTAGACTTAAAATCTTTTTATTTTTCATGATTATACATCTCGATGTCGAGATGATCAATCTAAGGGTTTTTCAACCTTAAAACTACCTTTTCCAATGGAATTTTTAGGTGCATCCATGGTTCTTCATTGTAAGGTTGCATCCATATATAAACTTTTTCCTTAACAAAATAATCAAGTTTCAAACAGAGATATTTGGAGCAAGAGCTCCTAAACACAATCAACAGAGCTAAACAAAATGACAAGAGGGAAGACTTACCCTCTAGTAAAGTTGGGGGTGTTAACGGGCCGAGCTGGCTTGTGGGCTTTGGGGCCAGCCCTAGACCGGGCCTGGTTGGGACATGGCCAGTGCGGGCTGGGCTTTGCTAGACCAGGTGTATTGTAGCCCTGGCCTAGGCTAACTTGAACCAGCAGGGGTCCGGCATATATTTTTTCATAAGCTCTTAAAATAAACTTTTTTCTACATTTATAAAAGGCCCATCTTGGCTGGCCTCTCAGGCATGATTTGGGCCAGGCCATGCCGGGCCTACCTTGCATGATTTTTGGCGGGGTTTGGAACCCAGCTCGTTTACAGCCCTAGGAAAGGTGATTCCTGTTGGCCCTTGCCTCCTTGAAATTTTATGTGTATTGATGATTCCAAATGCAAAACCTTCGATTCTATGTTCCCATTTGTTTTGTTTTACTTTTGTGCTTAATCCTGTAAACGTTAAGTGCACTTCGTCCCTCTCATTGTATGCTTATCCTTTTTTTTTTTTTTTGGGAAAATAGTCCATAAGGCTAAGTCTTTATGGAAGAAAAATAAAACCTTAGCTTAAAACTCACCAAAAATATAGTTCCAGAGTAAAAAAAAAACTTCAAATAAATCCTCCTAACTTGATCATTATGGTTGTGAATAAAAATTACGATTTTAAGCCCTAAAATAGTATATATTACAATATATTATCTAGACCAACCATTTTCAATTGTTTAAGGATCCGCGAGATCTGTTTCTTTTTTCGAGCTATAAATTTCATAATTGATGGTGGAAATTGATTTTAGAGCTATCATAAAGATTTTTCATGCCCAAAATATTTTCTAGATGATGTATCAAGGTGACTCTTTACTCTCTATTTTTATGTGGCCTAGGCCTCATAGAAATTGCGTCTTTTTATTCCCTTTCTGAAAGCTTGATGGCTAGTCTTTCTCTTTATGTTTCGGAACTTTGAGTAATGGTTTATCTTATAAGATTACAAAAAATGTAAATTTGCAAAGATACATATCTTTAAGGAAAATTTTATAAAAATTTCTGCCATTTCTTTATCTATGGGTGTAGTTTAAAAAAAGCATCAACCGTAAATCAAATTAAAACGCACTTCCAAACATTGTTGAAAGATGGGGTTTTGATGCAAAAAAAAAACCCTTACGAAGGCTTTATTTCTGTGTGACCCCCTCCCCCCCTACTTTAAATGGGCAACCTAGAGTTACAAGACACAAGTTTTACGACTTTAAATTATTTTTCTCTTCTTGCTCATAAATATCGAGGTCAAGATGGTCAATTGAAGAGTTTTTCAATATCGGAACTATATTTTCCTGTGGGTTTTGAGGTGCCCCTCGTAGAGTATAAGGTTTTATATAAACCTTTTTTCCTTATTCTAGTGACTATTTATTGCTGAATAATGCAAAGTGACTATAATAATAACAACATCTTCCTTCAAGCAAATATTTATCATAATGTTAACGAGGAAGGGGGTGCTTCATTTAGTTCTTGAATTAATTTGTCATTCACAAAGCAGTAATTCATCGCTTCTATAAAAACTATGAGTGAAATGATAAAAGTTGCTGAGAAATCATGAGCATGACGATTTAATTCGAGTGGTACTGACCATGTGTTATTTTATGGTATTTGCAGCAATGTGGCCAACTTTAATTATCTGGTTGTTCCTGTTTGAAACCATTTCATGCCAATCGGTTCTGAGGATTCGACCGGTTCATAAAGAAGCGATCACCGTAAAACACGCCGTTGTAGCGACAGATGATGGTCGCTGTTCGCGAATAGGTAACAGAATCCTTCAAAAGGGAGGTC